TTTTTTTTTTAAAGTAAAGTTGCATAAAATGGAGAATACCTCAAATGTGTACTTATTTGAGTAAATGTAGTTAGTTACATTTCACCACTGTTAAGTCTAAGGTAAACAGTAACATCAGGATTTGTAGACTTTAAATACATCCTAATGGTCTCACTATATACTTGCAAAGTAAATATTTGATATCAGAAAAAAAGCTTCTGCCTAAATATATAAACAGGTGTCAGCTCTTATACTGTACACATATGATCTACTTTACATGGTCCATATTGTTTCCTGTAGAGACAATACATTAAGGTGATATTACTAAAAATACTAGAAACAAGTACTAATAGTGCTCATTTTCAGACTAACTCAAGGGCCTGATACTTAACACCTGATTACATACTTTTTGTGTCACTAATAATGTTCTTATGCTTTTAATTAGAAGAGGTGCAAATTTAACATGTTGAGCACTGTTCTTTATTCTATTAGTTTTACATGTAGCTCATATAACAACTTAATTGTAATCTTTTTTAACTCTGAATATTGGCAATATTTGTATTATACCCCTGCTAGATGTACATGTTTCTGTAGTGCCATCATCTAGAAGCTGGGGGATATAAACAAGAAGTATAGGCGTAAAGTTGCCATGGAGTCAGTTCGATAGCTACTTAGTTTAGTTAGCCAGCTCTGGGCATTTTTTTAGCCTATATTTATTTATATCTCTGCAAATTGGCGGCATCAAAAGTATGCTGAATTTGCTATTAGTGGTCCTCGTTTGTAATCTGCCTATGGATGTTTAAACAGCTATCAATGGATTACTTTGATACTGATGGAAACTTAAAACATGATGATTCTCAGGCAAGTTTTGTAGTTGTAAGGAACACCTTTTTTATAATTTCTTAGCATTTATTCATGATGGACATCAGAGATAAAGATATCCTTGAAAAGTGTGAGTCACGCTGAGCATAAAATATGTGTATCATATCTGTGCGTTCAGATTTGACTGAGTTATGACTACACCAAGGAGCAGATTCTCAAAGAAATTCACTTTGTTTAACAAAATCCTATAAAAATGCTATATGTACATTAAGTTTGGCCCTGTAGGATAGCAATTTGAGTAGATTTGAGGATTTCAGAAGTACTAATTTATCCCCATTGAATGTTGAAAAAACAGGGAAAGAGTGTGATTGTTTACAGCTTTATTTAATGCAGTTTACTAGTCTGTGAAGCCCCCAGTCAATATGTCACGATTGCCTGCAGTTCATCCCTCTACCACTAGATGTAGTCAGTGATACACTAACCGGCCACATGGATTCACACAGTATATTCAGTCACTTATTTGCAGAAGCATCGACATACTGTCATCACTGACGCGTAAAAACACTCAAAAAAACATACACAGACTTTGCACTTACATAGACAGCGTTTTGTTGTCAGAGTTCTTCTTTTACCTCGAGGTGACAATTAAAAGTTGCTGAGGAAACAGGAAGAAGAAAAGTCATCAAATCCCTGCAGAACAGAGCAGAGAAAAGGTGATGAATCAATAACCATTAACTTTCACATACACCTCGCTCCGGTACAGGAAAAGTACATTTAATGGCTCCGTTATATGTCAGTGTGGGTTTATGTTTGTCAGGTTATCCTTTTGAGAGCCAGTGACCTGAATTCAGGCTTAGGACATTCTTATAAGTGCCGTCATTTTTATTGGTCCTGTCTCCTCTCTTCTTCTTGAATGTGTATCAAGGATTATGTTTAGAATGATCTACTTATCTAGATCTAAAACCATATAAAATAATACCAAATAATCTGCTAAATCTAGTTGACAGTGACTGGTGGTAAGGAGACATTCAGACAATTCTGTTGTGTGTTTGCTTAGAACAAACTTCTGACTTAGACTCGGACTCTGGTTTAATTCTTATTGGCAAATGAGGAACGTGGCTGGGTACGTACTGCAGTCCAACATAGGACTTGGCATATGAACAATGATAGTTTTTAATGTGCGTTCAAGGAGATGATAAATTAGTCAAGACGGGTAGCTGTGTAAATTGTCATGGAGGCATCTCTAATTGGCGACAGAAGAGGGAGTGGGTCGCTTCTAATTTGATGAATAAGACGTTGCTAAGAGAAGTGGACCTCTCTCTTAAAAATGTCATCAGCATTTGTGAAGCATGGAGACCACCACAGGCCAACTGAAACAATTCATGAGGAAGATATTATCATGCAAACACGCAAGAGCAAACATGCAGATGTAGCAAAACAGAAAGTAAAAATAAAGAGTAACTGAGTGATGCAGTCATGTGGAAATAGACGCGTATCTGTCCATGTCCATATTTGCTGGTGGATTTTCAAGCAAATAATGTTAGGGTGACAAAAATGAGACCTTATTGTCGGATGCTTGTTGAATGGTTGAATAGCTTTGGAAACCTCCTTCTCCAACACCTTTACAACGTTTCCAGGCCTTTACTTTCTCTTTCTAGCTCTCTTTTTTTTATTCACTCTTTTAATTTCTGACGCTTTTCATGTGAACAACTGAGTGTAACACTATGCCCTCCAGGAGAGACCATCTGAAAATGTGCGCCGTCATTCCTGTATTTAACCGCTATTCCACCTCCCGGCGACTTGCTTTTCACACTGCCTTCGAGTGTGGCAGTATTTGCTAATTAGCAGTAAACACAAAGTACAGCTGAGACTGATGGGTATTTTTTGCATGTATTTGGTCATAAACCAAAGGATTGGACAAATACAAATGTTGACATGATGATGGCGCTGGATGAAAAGGTCCAGTGTGCAACATTTAAGAGGCTCTATTGTCAGAAATTGAATATAATATTAGGTATGTTTTGATTAGTGTATAATCACCTGAATAAAAGATATATATATCATTGTGTTTTTGTCACCTTAGAATTTTTTGGTGACATGCAGGACGCTTTCCACCATGTTTCTACAGTAGCCCAGATGTAGTTGCAATCTGTAACTACACCGCTTGATGCCACAAAATACTGCACACTGGACCTTTAATTGATTCATCCTGTCAGCAGTGGAGGAGCCAGACAATTTTCATAGGGGTGGCCAGTCTGAGTGCTGTACAAAGGTTAGATCATGATGTTTGCTTATGACCAAAACGTGGGTATCTAAAATAAACCCCTGATAGTCTTGTGGGTGGGCAGGCAATAAGAGGGATACCATTTAATTTTATCATCAGCATCATCAATATCAGCTTTCATTACTTTTATAGCTTGTACCTGAATTTCTTTTTCTGGAGTTTGGCTCCTCTGTTTCTGTTCTTACTTCCCTCGGCAGATGTTTGTGTCACTGTCTGTGACGCAGTCAGACCCGAATTTGCTTTCTATTCATTTCTATGTCAAACAAAATTTGACAGAAACTCTGCAACATGATGTGTTTGATCTCCCCTCAGGCTACAGCAGCATGTGAGTAGCAGAGAACATTGGGGAGGGGCAGTACAGTGAGATGGGTGCACTGCTAAGTAGGGTCCCCAGTGGAGCTGTGACTGAGGAGAAATGGTTTAGCACAAGATAAAAATTGCACAAAATATGCCCCCAAGTGGGGCCAATGGGCCCACCACCTGGCTCTGCCTATGCCTGTTAGGAACATGAATGTACCAAATTTCATGGCAATCCATTATTGTTGAGATGACCAACCTTTCGACTGATGGAAATTTCCATCCTTAGAGTCAGTTAATAAAAACAGACATTCAGTCTATTTGGCTGGCCTAGACTAGAAATACAATTATAGGTAATTATTGTCTGCAAGTGTTGGTGAAGGAACACAGGCTTTCAGACCTCTTCAAATTAAATGGGTCAAAACAATAAATAGAGATAGTGCAGGCAACAAAGATAACAAAACAAATAATTCAGGATACACGAATGTCTTTCAGGCCTTGGGCTTTCTGAAAGGACAACAAACAACTAAAAGAGACTGCATCACTAAAAGTTCAAACCACACACAAAATCACTGCCTCATACACTGACAGAAGAACTCTGCCCTTATACAAAATTGGAGTTGTTAAAAAGATTGATGGGCCCACTGAATGAAAAAATGCAAATGTTGCAGAAGGAAAGCCAAGTCTCAGAAGTTGTCATCCACCTATAGAGGAAATCACATTTATCACACAATTATCTCTCAATAATAAGTTGGCTGAGCTGTGCACATTCAACGCCTCATTCGGACGCTGTTGATTCCTAAGGCTTCCATTTGGGATCAACTTAATCTGAAAATTAATTTCATTTAAATTTAATTCAATCAAGCTAATCAAGTTTATGGCATCCCCATACACAACAAACTGTGATGCACTGTGTGTTCTGACTCCTTCTTATCAGAACCAGCAACTATTTCAGCAATCGGAGCTACAGTAGCTCATCTGTTGGATCGGATCACACAGGCCAGCCTTCACTCCCCCCATGACCGTGTCTCTGGTTCACCTCTTTCCCTTCTTTGGACCACTTTTGATAGGTACTGACCTCTGCAGAGCGGGAACCCCCCACAAGAGCTGTTTTGGA